GTGATTCGTGAGTGTGAGAGGATTTCGTCATTTTCTCACACTGCCGCAGCGCTATATACGGAAAGCGAGAAAAAAATCCCTCTTTTCTTTTAAAGATATCTTTTACTTTTGCGAAAAAAGCTTTTGTGGCTCGTTGGTGAATGTTGTGAGTTGAAGATTACCTTTAAAATCCCAATTTTACTCCCAGGTTTGTTTAGTTTTTGTTGCAGAAATTTCTAAGGACACTTCAACGAGCTTAAAATATAACTTTTTACTTTTATTTACTTACCAAAAAGTATTTTGTCTGTGTATCATTTTACTATGCTTTAGGGGAATTGTTAACTCACTAGAGGATATATCAGTATTATGGGTATTAAATATCAATTAATTGCTCCTGGCCATTTTTCAACAAAAATGTGTTACACAAATGATCTATTTTTCTTACAATTCGTATTGGATTAAAAAGAAACTGATACAAAAGCATTTTTTCCGATTCTGAGAGCTATGTTAATTTATTTGTAAAGAAAAATTCACATGAAAGAATGGAAATAAAATCTAATTCTTAAGAATTATGAAGCAGGGTCAAGCTTTTATTATGCAAAAAAAAAAAAAAAAAAAACTAGATATGAAGATTTTACTTATTCTACCCATTATTTGATTCTTATATACATAAGAGTGTAAAGTTAAGGCCATAAATTCCTGAAATAACCTGCAGTATGAAGAAATAGCGTCTCATAATATGATAATATTCCTTCGCGTCGCCCATCCGGTAAAGTGGTTAGCGACGCCGACTGCTGTGCCGTAGGTCCTGGGTTCGAATCCCGGAGAAGACATGGATGTTTGTAAATGTATAGTGCTTTTGCGGCATGGAGGTACTTTAAATAACCGTCGAGCTGCAAGTCCTCTAGTGATATTGGTGGAAGGGGAAGACAGAGTCCCCTGCCCATCCCCTAGTATGTTTTCCCTCAAAATTGGAGTGAAATCGAGCTAAATCGTATTGTCACCGGAATGGTGCTCAAGGCTACGGCCAACGACAGGCGTACATCTAGCCCCTTACCATGATGAATTTCATGGGCCTGAAACTGACGCAGTCGAGATCAGGTTGCATAAGAAATAACAACATATTATTTTATTTGAAAGATTACAGAGTCCAGCAGATCTACATTAAAAAAAAGTGGCTGTGTTAGTGGAAATAATAACCCCTCTCATGTAACAGTATCGTAGGTTTTTAAATTTACATGTCCTCCACCGTCTAAAATAAAACTATGATTCATGTGTGTGTGTGTGTGGGCGATGCTACAATAGTGCAGAATAAAGCCTATTAGAACAAACAGCATGCGGCGCGGTAGTCTAATGGCCAAGACAACGAACTCGTGCTGGATTGTCATGAGTTTGAGCTTGTTGCCGCTGAAGACCCGCCGTGTAGGGGTACGGTGCACGAAATATCTGTCGAGAGCTCAAACGTCCTCTGGTTGATGTGGTGTGGTAGTTAGGAGAGGGGGTGCAAGAGCTCAGGTGTCGTCCTCGTCACTTGACTATGGTTCAAAATTACGAGGTCCGTCACCAAAAAGCCCTTATGTAGCTGCACAGAGTGACGTTAATATTCCCTCACTCACTAGACCGAACAGCCACTAACCAAATGATAGGAATAATTTTCAACATCCAGCTGAACCGATCTTAGTTAGGGCAAGGTATTCAAAAATATTCACGATCGTGTGTCAAAGGGATCACATGTTGCCAAGGGAAACGTTGAATCTTATGAAGTAGGGTGAGGAATTATTTTTCATTGTCTGGTAACTAAGTACTAATTTTAGATCTATCTATCAAGAAGTTGCAGAGAAGAAAGTGATAAGAAGCTAGTGTGAAAACACAGCGTCTCAACCCTCTCCCTAAGATGGATAAGCTGCTGCTGAAAAAGCCACCCTGTCTATATTTTGGAACAATCATGGAATCATTGTTAACAGAGTTAATGGAGAAGGGATAAACCATCCTTAGTAAGCAGAACTGCCTTCTTCTAAACAAGCTTCAGAAAATGAAGCTGTAATGTCACCAAAGGGGCAATATACCTGCTCATTCATCTCGAATAAGAAATAAAGGAAACAAACGGACGTGGCTTTAAAATTTTGTCACATCTGCCCTATTTTTCTGACCTTGTCTCAAACGTTTTTTTCTTATTTCTAGAACTCAAAAAATGTATTGTAGATTCGGAGATTCACAACGATACAAACGACGTCATTTTCAAGGTTCCACCGTAATCTCCCGAGTTCTACAACCATCTTTTGAATGTTAAGAAGCGTTGAAAGCAAAATGTATACTACGTACTGAAGTCTAAAACGTCACCAATAACAATTAAGTTTCTACCACGAATGATTTTAGAAATAATTAACACACTACGATCCCTTCATATATAGCCCTCTAGTGGCTAAAACTGATTTTAAAAAACTTCGCATATAACAGTTTTTTTAAAAAATTTTGTTGGATCTCTAGTTTTTACTTTCAAGTGCAATTTAAATTTATTCATCTCGATATTTTATACCCTTAAATGAATACTCAGTCAAATAACTTATTAATACTAAGCATTTTTAACTGAATAACTCACTCTACTTTTATTGCATAAAATCATATAATTACTTTTATTAATTATAATCTGCAGTATTTCGGTAAAATATATTCACAATTTTTACAACATAATTTTTCTTTCTCCAGCATATTAAACAGCTGACTGTGGATCGAAATAGCACTTGGCTTCGTTTACAGCGCCTGAGGTTTTTCGTGGTGATTTGGCAAATGAATTGTTACACACTAAAAAGTTCATTCACTATTAGTCATTTGTTGTCAAGCTATATGCATCTGATGCTTTCGAAGTTTATTACTTCTTGCCTTATGTCTGAATGCAGAGTAAAATATTATTTTATTAAACTGTTGTCATCGGGACTTTCATTGGTATAAACGAAAGCGTATATGTTTAAGGTTATTCCTGATCTCTCTCTACTGTTTGAGAGAACATCTGTTGTTATTCATATGAACATCGTTTATGTAAATCTGCTTCGTGTCAGACGTGAAATGGTAACAAAAAACAACATGTAATGATTAACATGTCGGAAAAAGTGGCGCGCGTTATACGGAGAATACACCTAATAATTAAAAAATGCAACTTGAAAGTGAAGGTGTGCGTTATATACGATATAGTGCGCATTATATGCCGCATTTTCCGGTAGCTTGAAAGAAAGAGAAAAGAGATGCTATTTTACTATTATAAAAAACTAGAAAGAGGAAATGTATCATTATTCTTTTTCCTCATATTATGTAATTCATGCTATATTACTTTATTTGTATGACATCTCCAGTTAAAAACCGGAAAGCTATCTAATACTATATTATTGTATGATAATAATTAATTTCTGAATATTTTTTGTGTTGGAATAACTTTTAATGTATATAACTAAAATAAAACTAATTAAACACGTCTATTTATTTTTCAGTCATTGTTACACAAAATATCTAATAGTACTATATTTTTGTAGAATGTACTGCAGCTAATTTTAGCGGTCGTATACCTTATGAAAGGCTTACATACATTTAGCACAATACTACTTTATTTTTCTGTTTTTATCTCGTCATAATATTTTTTTTAAAAAATTTCTAGCATGCTCTCAAAGGAAATCGTGCCATTACTATATATATGGTTTTTTAAAAAAAAAAAATCAATTACATGTGTATGTTGTTGTTGCTTATGCCACCTGATCGACAGTAACATCACATCAAGGTCCACGAAATTCATCGCGGCTTAGGGCTAGAATTTTTACGCCTGTCTTTAGCTTAAGCTTTGAGCCCCCAAGAAGGTGACAGTGCGATTTTGCTCACACAACACGATAGATGGCGACACCATTCAGACTCACAGATTTAACAAGCACATTCTCCGATTTGTACTCAGCGAGTATTTGGTGGCGTCGGGCATCGAACCCAGGCCTTCCGGTCTGGAATCCGATGCTCTAGCCACTAGGCTACCCCCACGGCCCCATTACATATGTATAATTACATTGAACACTATTTTTGCACCACTGTTACGAATGAAAGTATCTATAGAATGATGTTATTACTTTACCTGCACGTAGATGTTACGTACATGTAGATGTTGATAATTATAGTGTGCATAACTGAGATGATAGGTCATGGTGAGTGAAACACTAGTGAAAAAGAGTTGAGAGGGAGTGATTCAAAACTTAGTGTTTGATCTTCAAGTCCCTTTCAAATTGCGTTATAAATTGTTTCATCTCTTTCCGCCAATCATGCCTCAGTCTTCGTATCGATCATTGCTTTATTTCCGGCCAACGTCATCCATTTTTCTCTCACTTAGATCGTCTAATGATAGCGCCATCATTCACTGCCCGGATACAGGATCCAGGAACTTTCCCGAAGAAAGTGATTTTTCGTTGAACAGTGGCTGGAACACACGATTATGTGTTTATTAGAAGAAGCTGTCTGAGCACTAGCTTATTTCGCCGTTTAATGTTCTTTTCCCCCCCCCCAAAAGTCCTTTGCATAGAAATTGAATCAAAGAGGAGTTATTTAAATAACAGTCAATTGAATATTTGAATACTTTGGCTAATGGAGGAAGAAAGTATCGATTCAAGAGTCTTCTTAAAAAGAGTATTATCTAAAAAACTGATAAGTTTATGAAATTGAGCTTTGAAAGCTTATTCAATTCCTAATATTAGTTAACTCTCTCCCTATATATATATATATATATATATATATTATATATATATATAAATATATATATATATATATATATATATATATATATATATATATCTGTCCATACAAAATTTCAATCGTTAATAAAATACTTTCAATTCATCCTTTCATGCACAAATACACTTTTTTAAAACTTGCAGTGGATGCACTTGATGTTAATACAGTTTTTTCAAATATTAATTCATCAATTAAATTAAAAAAATGAATAAATAGTAACAAACTCTAAAATGATAGTGCAACAGAGCATAGAAAGAAAGGAAAATCGTTCCTTTAGCTTAATGGGTAGAGCGTTGGACATTTAATACAACGGTCGTGGGTTCAAATCCCACCAGGGATGACTTAATTTTGGGAATGTGATTTCTTTTTTACTATACTATATTATTAGAATAATTAAATCTGATAAATGAATAAAAAGTCACAAACAAAATAAAAATTGTCCCACACTATATAGAGAGAGGAAAATAGAAAATTTACACATATTTATATTAATATGTGTAAAATAGAAAGTACACATAATTATATTAATTGTGACTTTTAATAAAAACTAACTGAATTTTTTTTTTTTTTTTTTTACTTAAGAAGGAAATGATTCAAAATTTTTTTATGTAACATGTTTTTACGTAAAGATAGTTTATGAATCAACAAAACATAAATTATTACTTATGCTGGGAAATTTATTAACGACTTATTATAATTATCAACAGTATATTAGATAACACATTGCAGTTGCCTTTAACGCACATGTTATACATTTTTGAACTTATTTTCAAAGTACTTTTTAAATTTACTCAACGTAATATAATCACAAAAAACCCTAAGAAAATCACGAAGGAAAAATTTTAGTTTATAGAAAATCCGTCAAAATATTTGAAAGGCTTGACTCTCTGATGTTTTCAGCTGAATTTTATTCCCCATGAATTAGGATTAAAATTCACGACACGTTTAATTTTAAACGGCGGGTTCTTTATGACACAATAGAATTTGAAACTCTGATACAACAGAAATGATGATTTTATTTCATTTCGCAGTTCTGATTGAAACGATTATTGGGGGTTGTGAATTATTGAATGGGAAGTGATAAGGAAACTGGCAAGAGTAGGATCAACCTTACAGTGCCTACTCAGAACTTCCTCATTGTTATCAGAGGTAGAGAAAAGACTTTGTCAATAAAGAATAAAATAATTTAGTGTGTGTTTAGGTCTTTCAGTCCGGGAATTAACACGCTCAGTAAAATTCACAAGAAACTTACGGTTGCAAAGATTGTCATCTTCATAAAGCTGCACCCAAGCTAAATCACTTTACTGCCCCGTAAACGGACCCCCCCCCTCCACCCAATAAGTACTAGTAATAAAACTGGTAAATTTATTTTAAAAAAATCATTTTTTATCCAATATTTTAGCAGCGTAACTTATTTTGCGATATACTCGTTATCGCTCGATTTGTTCGACACACAGAAGTGCGCACTCTCCAACTGGAGTTAATAAACTGGTTAATATCTTTTCAGAAGCAGAATGTCATCTTACTAAATTCTCCACCTATAAAAGAAATTCAAATTTCATTTACATAACTCTTTTTTTCTGTCAAACACTCACAGTAATGTGTGTGTGTGTGTTTTGCAAAGGTAAATTTTAAATTCATTCTGAACGGTTTTATTTTTCTATTTCTTTTGTGTTACGTTTCCATTAAAATGAGATTATTTGCATTATTTATAATTTCTCAAAGCTTCTAAGAATAGAGATATTTTTAGACTGGTAGAAATAAAAAAATCTCAAATTGACAAGAAGTAAAAACTGGTATTTTATTTCCTGAAGATTTTTTTTTTAATTACAAAGGCCAGCTGTCTTTGAAAATTCCTGGAAAAATGGATTATTTTCCCAGGATATTATTACCATGTATCTGGTATTGGAAAGTTTTGTAAGAATAAAATTTGCATTTTGCAAATTTCGCTTCTTTGTTCCTTACTGTGCACATGCTTATTATTTTTAAAATTTCTTTAAACCTTTTTATGGCCTTGAAGAAGAAAGAAAAGAAATAGGTTATGCAAATTATGTTAGCAGTTGAAACAAAAAAAAATTCTTATTTTTAAAAATAATAATGGTTGAAATATTTGATTAAGTATGTTCTCTCTTTAAATAGAAACTAATCAAATATCAGAATAAATTGAATGGAAAGTATGTTTATGGGTAAATGAGTGTTGATTGACGCCAACACGGGCTAATGGCGAAAAATCTAGTTATCTTGAATCGATGTCAAGTGACGAAAACGATCCTAACCTGCTACCCCACTCTCCTAACTTCCACACCAATGTATACATTCAGAGCCACGACAGATTCAATCTGCATCACGACCTCTACACGGCGGGTCTTCAGTGGCATTCGGGCTCGAGCCCCCAACTCGACCAGGCCGGTTATGAGTTCGTGATCATGGCCACTAAGCTACCGTGGCCACAATCATACTTCTGAAGAAGCCTTAGGAAAAAGAGTCGTGTGGGATATTCAAATTGATTAGTTTTACTTCAATTGTAATCTGATCTTAATTAATAATAAAGAAGCGAAACATAATAAAAAACGTGTTGATTAAAGCAAGATGGATTGAAAGTAGAATATTAATATGCATTAAGTGTGGTTTCGGGAAAATTCAGATATTTATTTATCGTATTCATATATACTGCAATTATACACTGATATCATTCACTCTTGGGCCACCACAATTTGATTTATTTTGTATTGCCTTCAAAGTTATTTATAGAATCTAACGATGGATTCCTAGCCATGGTCAGGTGATGAGGACGGCGTCTGAGGTTGCACTTCAAAATTCCACGACACACTAGTACTGGAGCCTCTGTTGGAGCCTGAACAAATTTAGCCTTCATCAGCCCATCTAATCTATTCGTGGGAAATTATGTTTTGATAACTTTTGAAGATTTATCTCATTTAGAAAATGAGGGAAAATACGCATGTGTTTTGAAAATTAGAAATCGAAAAGAGATTTTTTTTCTGGAAAGAAAATTCCTAATATAAATCATTAATATATTTGCAAAACTAAAGATTTTCGCGCTCTGTATTAGTTATAACCAAAAGCTTAAAAAACTAAAAAAAAACCACTTTTATAAAATTAGAAAAGTGGCCATGGTAGCCTAAAATGGTCACGAATTCAAGGCCGGAGTGTTGGGGATTCGAGTCCTGGCGCCACTGAAGATCCACCTTGTAGAGGGGGCTTAAATCTGTCGAGGGTCAATGTTGATTGTGGTGTGATAGTTAGGAGAGTATAATGCCAGCTTTGGTATTGTCCTCTTCACTTCTCTGATGTTCAAAATTACGAGCCCTGTCACCAGAGAACTCGCGAAGCTTTAGAGAGCGACGTCAATAAAACTCTTACTATCACTCACTCTTGTTTCTTAAAAATGATTCACAATCAATTTAGCAATAATTAAATGTTTTCGCACGTATTATAATATTTCCCCAACATTGCGACACATGTTCTGGATTTCAAACAGAAGGCTTCAAACTGTATTATAGATCATTTGAAATATCAGAATCCTAAATAAAAGTCCTCAAACACATAGAAGTAAGCAACACACAGAAATTTTCAAAATTCCAAAAAACTATTTTGGAAATAGGAAACATGAAGAAAGGTGTAGGGTGAAAGTCATAAAGTTTATATGACAGGTAAATCCAATAAAGGTGTCCCTTACCTAAATCTAAGTACCCAGTTGATGACCAGAAAAGTTGCTGCTGTACACGAACGGTCATGATCGTGAAATGAGGGTGTGTGATGGTCATAATCGTGGTAGTGGCTGTTTCAATCGAAACAAGGAGTGCCATTCAATATCTGTGACTAGAGGTATCTTTGATTTGTAATGAACTCTAGAGTGATGTGATTTTGGGGTTTATTGGCGCAAGAGCCGATTTCGGCTATACTGTGCCAAACATTTGTTTTAATATCTGTGGTTTAGACGGGAAGAGAAAGAAAGAATGCATTGAATGGCAAGAAAGAGGGTCGGAAATAGAGAAGGATCACTAGGGTACCCCGGGTTCGTGAAGCCCGTGTTTACCAAAGACAGTAAACCCCTTGGGAAAAGGAAAAGATCACTAGGGCACCTCGGGATTGTGACACCCGTACTCACCTAAGGAAGGTGAGCCCCCTGAGGGGAATGAACTCTAGAAGCGAACAATTCATCTTTTGGGTGAACCTTTAACATTTTCAGCCGTATTTTTGTCTTGTTCCAGTGAACACTAAAAGCTTCGGTTGATTCCTTTACGACTTGTTTCTTCTATTATACAAATACAAAACAGCGCCTAAGCCCTTGAGTAACTATGTTGAAATTTTTAAATGTTAAGACACTTTTATCAATATCTTCACATTTCGAAAGTTCAACACAATTGCTCAGATAGTCTCATATCCCAGACTGATCGAAGCCCCATAAAACACAGTTCGGGGAATTCTCTCCTTCAATTCTCTCTGTAGGTTACACCAACTGTTGTGTCCAGTCCAACCTTTAGAGAGAGCTATCGCTGTCCCTCTTGTTAGACTGGCGACGAACCTCTTTCTCTTTTCCACAATGCATTGGGTCATATCTTTCTTAAGAAACGAATTAACAGACAATTTAATTTTAAGAAAAAGAGGCCATTTAATGCGTTAGTCTATCAGAGTAACAGACTATCTCTCACGCAATGTCTAAGTGTGTGAGAAATTCGGAGTGTTTCTATGGCTTCTTCTCCAACTGGTGAAGGACGTCTATACCTTGCTTATTCTTGAAAGCTTTTGCATTCTTCCGTAACTTCTTAAGCCATTGACAATATTTGCTTTCATCTATTGCACACTTCCCACACTTTTGTCCCATGCTACGGTAAGCTGTCTATTTCGAAATGGTAAACAAACAAAGCATCACCCGCTCTTTGTAATGCGTCGTTACATTTCAAATACACTTCAAAATCGTTACTCAAATCAAATATCACGTATTTACGTGCTGTTTATCTACACGGGGTCCAATATTTCTGAGCTCCTTAATTTGAAAATCAGGGGTTAAGTGATTTACTAGAGTTCAAATTATAAGGCTAGACACTTTCTTATCCTTCTTAAAATTCAATGTCTATGTTCAACATGCGCGATGCAAAATCGGACCATATATTGCCACTCGGATTATCAAACCTTATATCAGTGTTTCTGAAACTGTGGAAACAAAAGCGCCCCCTTAGGAGAACATGATAACTCTAAGAGGAGGGCACGAGTATATTGAAGTGGCGAAAACAAAAGATTATTCAAAAAAATGATTAATTTACTAAAAGTAATTAACAAAATACATTCTGGCATAGTAAAGAATAAAGTACTCACATAT